TGGAATCATGGAATGTGAAGGTAAGTAGAACTTTTCATGGTAGGATCAAATACTTGACTATTACCACACTCGTACAACATACATTTTCAGGACTAAGTAAGAACAATCATATAATGTAATCACTATACTTGGAGGCAGAAGATTCTTTCACGTGGTTCTCGGCCGCCGGAGGTATAGTACTGACTGTCACCAGGGTCAAGTAACTACATGTATTTGGAACACATGTTCGCCAGAGTTTTTCAACCTATCACTGTTAAACGTGTTAGAAAGATGAAGAGAAACAACCAGCTTCGACCGACTTGCTGTTAGTCAGCTCAATATATATATATATATATATATATATATATATATATATATACTTTACAAGGAATTTCGGCCGTAAAATATACATATTCTTTTACTTGTTGATTGGCTGTAATATAATATTTTAGATGCGTTGTTCACGTCACTATGAGAACCATATCGAACAGAACGCAGTGTGACGATCTTCATACTTGAGTGTTTACACTTGATTGCCATATCAGATTTATATATGCTTACGTCAATATTATCTATGAGCTGTTTTTGTTATGCTACGTCACAAATGTGCCAATGTAAGATCCGGGATAGTGCTTATTCGAACAAGTTTTTATCATTTGGTAGGATTTTGGTTAACGTTCTTACAATCACTGACAGATGGCTACAGGTACAATGTACCGTCATAGAGTAATAATAATATGATGTAATTTGCCAAAGCCTAGCTCAGGGCATGGTGACGCAAATATCGTTTTATACATATAATGTTTGTAGATATGATCAGTTTCAGAATTCGGGATTGAATCACTTTGATCATCTAATGCAATATGTCGTGTCAGCGTATCCACCACCGGTATAAGGGATGTTCGACTTTAAAAATAGCTTATAGTTCCATAACGTGAAGCAATGTAAAAAAAATCAACACAACTTTACGAATCTGAAAATTTTTATTGCAGATTTTACCCCAAAATGTACAAATCACATTTAAACATTGTTAACGCGAAGTCAGATATTTTGTTTAAATAGAATTTACGTCATCGAAGTGAGTATAACGGGAGTTGCATGGCCATGTTTTGAGTCGTGGGACAAACTACATGAAAACATTGACCATGTTGTAATTGAAATCTGTACCCAGCTTCAGCTGCTGTGAAATCATTGACTACACTAGGGATATGTACTACAATGAGTTGTCGTCTTGCAGCTTGTTACGTCATTAGCAAAACCAAACGAAAGTTGTGTGATTTTCACCGCTAGAGGGCTAACTTCTTCTGAGATGCAATGAGCCTGTCACCCACGTATATGATCAATTTAATATCGACGTTGCCATACTTTACCGGGTTATAAATATAAGTATTTTTGTGGCAATTTATCTTAGAAAAAATTTTAAACACCGATGAATTTTATTTAAATCTGAAAAAAGATCATTTAGGATATTCTTCTAACGAAAGTGAAACTACAGATGTACTACAGTTAATGGTGGAAGAACACACGTCTAAACGAAAGTTCCATCATTTTCATCTCTAGGGTGAACGATCGATTTTATGATGATTTTACACTCATGATGGCCTGGTTATAAACACAAGAATTTCCCCCTGGATTATAAAAAATATCGCGAACCCCGAAGAAATATATTTTTAAAAGAAATTATTTATGGTGTAAATTTATGATACTTTTGTGTATGAATGTAAAATCCGAAGAACACAAGTCTATGTCTATGATTATTTATCGCGCTTACTGGTACGTGTAAATATGTACCGGTACATGTATGGCGCTTACTGGTACGTGTAAATATGTACCGGTACATGTATGGCGCTTACTGGTACGTGTAAATATGTACCGGTACATGTATGGCGCTTACTGGTACGTGTAAATATGTACCGGTACATGTATCGCGCTTACTGGTACGTGTAAATATGTACCGGTACATGTATCGCGCTTACTGGTACGTGTAAATATGTACCGGTACATGTATCGCGCTTACTGGTACGTGTAAATATGTACCGGTACATGTATCGCGCTTACTGGTACGTGTAAATATGTACCGGTACATGTATCGCGCTTACTGGTACGTGTAAATATGTACCGGTACATGTATCGCGCTTACTGGTACGTGTAAATATGTACCGGTACATGTATTCGCAACACTCATAAACAAACAAAACAAAATTAACAAAAGTGTTATAATTTTACACTG